CTACCCACCACTATCCTGCCCAATATCAGGAACTATAGGACTCACAGCCATCAGTGACTAGGCCTTTATAGCACCAACTGCCAGCCAGTACATTAACCCTTTAACACCAACTGCCAGTCAGTGACTACACATGTTGTATAAATATGTATGTCATCTTGAGCGAGAGACGGTGTAACAGGCTGTGGGCTGGACTGCTCTATGGAAATAGTCTCAGTCAGAAAGTGCACTGCAGACAGATTCAACCTGTGGTTTTCAAACGGGAACTCGACAATTAACTGAACAGCAAGAAATATCGTGGGTCTCGGTGGGAAGAAAAGGCAAAGTTTTTGGAGTAACTGCGTACCCCAACAAAGACCGTGCGTGGACGTGACATGCCAAGTGGCCTCAATGCTGGCTCATTCTATGGTTCTGTGTCTAATGACAGGTGCTAACCTCCAGTGAAGAGGCGGGAGATTTTATTGTATGAGAAGTATGATACAAACGCAAGCCAATTGTTGAATGGAGAGAACTTGCAGGTTCCTTCAGCTAATTTGCATGGACATAATCCAACTGAAACAACAGCACAGCATTCTGAACCCCACCTGAAAACAGGAGAACCAGTCACAATCACATCACTGTTTGTGAGATTATAGCGTGTACAACTAGCCTGGCCCAATGTTTCCCATACTCCCAACTGTCACCTCCGTGACTTTAAACACCGTGGACCTCTTGAGGTGATAAAGGTGCCAAATAAATGCACAGCCATTTGTTAGTAAAGTCCTGCAATTAGATTAAACAGTCACTCCATAACGACACTGATAAGGAAATTGCACAGCCCCTGTGCACTGCATGCCTTTCCCAGGGGAAACTCTGTCCCTTTGAGACTCACCAGGAACAAACAACAAATGAATTGTCCTTGGAAATCGCTTCCCTTCTGATTTCAATCTCCGAATTGCTTCAATATACCTGAAAGAGGCAAGAGAGAATTGTTATCAGAATTAAAGCTAACTCAGGGTACACAGTTACCTATAGTAAACAGTGTGGGATAACACTCTCCCTGCTATCACACTCCACTCCACTAGATATGGGATTATAAACCCAATGTTAAAAATTAAAATAAAAATCCTGCCGAGATTAACTCATTACTTTTTGTGCACAGTATAATCTTCCATAATTCTGTTCCACTTCATTTTTTTTTCAGTTATGAAAGTCAGCAAGTTCGGCCTTTAAAAAACATTTACAATTTATAAATAAAATTGTTGGGAAACAGGAGAACCCCATCAAACACTCCCAGGACAGGTACAGCGCAGGGTTAGATACAGAGTAAAGCTCCCTCCACACTTCCCAAGGAAAAATTTCCCAGGACAGAGTCTGCAAGGGGTTAGATACACAGTAAAGCTCTCTCTACACTGTCCATATCAAACATTCCCAGGACAGGGACTGCACGGGGTTAGATACAGAGTAAAGCATCCCAGGACCCTGCTGTTTTCTTTGTTTAGTCAGATGCCAGAGTCCAGAAGGATGCAGGGAACTAGAGGTTGTTATTGTGACAATTCTATGGCTTAAAATGGTGTATTTTGTCCTTTTTTTAAAAGAAGTTTTTAAGACAAAGGCAACGAAATAGCTATTAAATCCCATAAAGTAAACAGCTTAAGGGGCCTTTGGTATTTTTTTTAAGTAGAAACAATAGAAGCAGCCTGAATGGGTGGGGTTGAGCCAGGATTTTTAGTTTTAGTTTTTCAGTAGCAGTTCTTGCTGGCGTCTTGAAGCTGGGTTCAGAAGTTGCAATACATTCTCCCTGCTACTCTCTGTTTCAGGGATTTCTCTTGATGCTTTTCCTCCTGGACTGGAGAACTGCCTGAGAGACAATCTATTTTTCTGAACTTGCCTTTTGCCAACGGAGTGTTTCTGGGATGTTACTATATTGGAACAGTTACTGCTTAGTTATAAAATAATCTATTATTCTGTTAAGTTTTCCAATATTGTTAAGTAATACCAATTTCATCTTTTTTTGTTGTATTTTAACTACAGTGTATGAATAAAATGTATTTTCCTTCAAATCTGGTCATCTGACCAATTGAATTGGATCCAGAATGGCACTTGCCTCTAAAATAAGAAAAAGTTAGTATCTAGGCTATCCTCTTAACATCTTTTGAAGGGGTTTAGTCTGGTCCATAACAGTCATATCTTAACTGAATGATAATTACGTGAGACGATATTACCACCTCACACAGCCAATGGGCACCGCAGGGGCTGGGGGGGGTTGCATTAATAGTCTCCAAAACAACATTTTCACCGGAACATTGTTCATTTAAGTTTGAACATTTGCTAATGGTTGCTGTTTCCCCTTACGGATTTGGTCCTCTTTCGTGTGTTTTAACTGTTGCTTTAGACAAGTGTATGGGGGGGGGTGGTGGTGGGGGCGCGGAACGAGTCAGTCAGTGCGTTGGGAGTTTTGTGACGTATGAGCTGAATAAACTCTGACTGGACAGGCAGTGGGACTGTTGCTAACTGACCTTTAACACGTATCAATACGGTGGCGGGGGAGGGGTGGAAAGGGCAGGGGGTCGACTTATGCCCCATCAGCCGCTTGTTGAACTCACTGAATGGTGACACACTTCATGTCCTGTGTCCCCCGGCCATAAATATTGCCCTGCTCATCTTTCACAGCTGCAAATGGGTCGTGTTTCCAATGCTCCTGCACACAGAAAAATGGAGTCAGCCCAGTTCCGCCATCGGCACCTCTTCTTCCCGCTACTTCCACAGCTATCCCACAGCTCCCTGCTGCGCAACCCTACCTCAAAGACGGGCACCACATCCGTGTGGGAATTCAGGAGAACGGATTTCAGCTTGGGGTCCGTCCCCTCCCAGCTGATGACGACGACGGTCCGACCTGGGTGAACCTGGGCAATGAGAAAGCATCACACTCGGTATGTTTTGATTTATTATTGTCACGTGTACCAAGATATAGTGAGAAGTACTGCATTGCATGCTAACCAGACAAATCATTCCTTACATCAGGGTAATAGAACAGACTGCAGAATATATTGTTACAGCTACAGAGAGGGTGCAGAGAAAGATCAACTCGAATATATGAGAGGTACATTCATAAGTCTGATAATTGGTACGTGTTTTCAAACTTTTGTATTTTCTGCCCAACAGAAAAGGTCAGAAGAGAGTATAACCTGGGTGGGAGGGGTTTTTGAATATCATAGATCATAGAATCCCTACAGTGTGGAAACAGGCCCTTCGGCCCACCAAATCCACACCGACCCTCAAAGCATCCCACCAGAGCCATCCACCTATAACCCACCTAATCTACACATCCCTCAACACTATGGGCAATTTAGCATGACCAATCCACCTAGCCTGCACATCTTTGGACTGTGGGAGGAAACTGGAGCAGCCGGAGGAAACCCACACAGACACAGGGAGAATGTGCAAACTCCACACAGACAGTCGCCCGAGGGTGGAATCGAACCCAGGTACCTGGCGCTGTGAGGCAGCAGTGCTAACCATTGAGCTACCGTGCCCTCCCCCTGTTGGTGCTTTCCCCAGGCAGCAGGAAGTATAGATGGAGTCAATGGACAGAAGGCTGGTTTGTGTGATGGACTAGGCTGTGTTCACAACTCTATGTTGTTTCTGCAGTCTTGGGTAGAGCAGTTGCCATATCACACTGTAATCCATCCAGATAGGATGCTTTTCAATAGTGCATCTATAAAAATTGCTAAGAGACATTGTGGACATGCCGAATTTGAAGTAGAGACATTGGTGCACTTCCTTGACTGTAGCATTGACGGGGATGTTGATGATATTTACTCTCAGGAACTTGAAGCTCTTGACCACCTCCTCCTGAACAGTCGAAAGCACCGACAGTGACACAGGGCTAGTAACGTTACCCACAGGAACTGGGGACCAAACCAGAGCCAGGCAGGCAAAACAAAGGTTTGATCAGAGAGCTGGCTTTTTAAGGAGCATCTTGAAGGTCAGGAGCAGATGAACGAGAGATCTGGGGCACCGAGCCACTAGCAGTCATAGGTAGCAACAGTATTCGGGGGGGGGGGGTGAGTTCAGAGGTTTTGGCAGGTTTGCTGGGCATTAGCGAGGGACAGAGAGAGAGACACAGAGAGAGAGAGACAGACAGAGAGAGACAGACAGAGAGAGACAGACAGAGA